AGTGCTAACCGGATGTGTTAGTAGGTATTTTGCCATCGCAGAAATCACTGGCCATCTACGTTCGTACTTTCGCCAAAATTCAATGACTTCTTCTGAACTTTTTTTAATTGTTTTGTTACTATGCATATTATGATTAAAGTAATCAATTAATTCAGGAGACAATAAATTTGGACATGCGTCCGATGTTTGATTACATGCAGCTGACAAACTACTACTAGAGGAACCACGTGCATTTAAATCATATTTATATGAGTTAATGTCTTCAAATAAATTAAAATTTCAACGTCGTCATCTGGTATATCAGTGGAAGGAGTGGGTGCGAGCCAGATGGTACCCGATTAATATTTGTACCCCTTCGTTCTGCTTATAATTAATACATTTCATATAAAGTTTGTTCTAGGTTTCTATAAGTAATAGGTACATTAAAAGTTAAAGTTCTTAAAATTTGATCAAATACAAATTTAGTACCCGATAAATTATATTGGGAGTCCATAATGCATGCTAATGGAAATAACATAGGCAAGTCTTGACAATATTTTCTAAACTTTAATTCCATGGAATATATAATTTCACTAAAATTGGGGTCATTTTTATATCTATGAAAAGCCCTAGCAATTATATAAAAACGTTCAAAGACCATACAACTAGTGGAATAATAAATTTCAGATAAAATATTTGAAGAATCATAAAAAACTTGTCAAAAAATTTTTAATCTTAAAAGCTAATATCCAATCAGATTCATTCAAAATAATATCGTCGGCGTTTCTAATATGCTTATTGTTATTAAATGATCAAAACCTTCACATGATTTTAATAATAAGTATGTGGAGTTCCATCTATACCATACGTCACTAATAAATGTTTTCGTATGCATCATCCCAACTTCGGCACAAAATTCCTCAAATGTTTGTTTTCTACCATGTGAAATAGTGATATACACTAGTGCATCCCTAATTTTTTGAATTTCATTCTTAATATATTTTAAACCATCTTGCACTATTAAATTAAAAATATGACACACGCATCGAATATGAAATAAATAACCACCAAAATCAAGTTTCAGTACTCTGCACAATTTCTTGATAACTACCTTATTAACAGTAGCGTTGTCCAATGTAAATGAACGAATTTTACTTTCGCAACGATATTCCCTAACAATGTTAATAATAGCATTATATATGTTGTTAGCGTTGTGAGGAAACTCAATAATTTTAAAAGAAATAATTTTTTTGTACATACACTAAAGTGGGTCTATGTAGTATGCAGTTGCAGCTATATAACATCTTTT